CCCGGCAGCTCTCGCTCGTTCGCCTCCATTCTCTCTCTAGGGCACATTCTGTCCCTCGGCAAGTAGGATCGTTGCCTCTTCTTGTTGGGTGAGAGCCTGGGGCCCTTGTGGGACCCTCCTATCTCCCAGGGCTGGGTGGGGGTGAATCACAAGCTGGCAGCAGGGACACCGAGTTGGCAAACACATCAATCGCTCCCTCCTGGAGCAGGACCCATGCCTGCTTGGGAGTAGGAGCCCGTGGCTGATTCTCTATCTTCCCCTCACCTGGATCTTTCAAGAAAAGACAGAGGCTCAGCGGGCACTGCCAAAGAAACCCAGCTCATGTGTCTGGGAAGTGGTGTTTAGAGCTGAGAAACGAGGGCAGGGGAGAGGGAGTTGGGTCTGAGTTTTAAGTCAGGGTAGTCACTCAGCAGAGCGACTTGCTGTGTCTCAGTTTCCCCCTCTGTAAAGCTAAAGTAAACGAACTCCTATCATCTCCTCATCCTGTTGCAAGGGCTAATTAACTGCTGTTCTCCCGGTGCCCGGAGGTGCTCAGGTGAAAACGGGAGGAAGTGCAGAAGCCTTTATCCATCTGTAGTCCTGAAGCAGAGACCTGGGCTGGAGGGGCTGACACTGCCTCTGGCCCTGGAAAGACTGCCATGCAGGCTTTGACTGTGGGGCCCTGCAGCTACTCAGAGTCAGCTCGCAAACCACACAGAACCCTAAATGGGTCCCGGGCTAGGATCTAATCCAATTTCCTTGCTCTATAGTTGATAAAACCAAGGTCTAGGGAAGCAAAGGCCACTCCAGTTCCCTCGGCTTATAACAACCCAGCCGATACTTCCCGCTGCTGACCTGATAGGTCATATCCATAGCCCTCCTACTGTCCTTTACATAGGAATTTTCACCCATTTCAGAAATGGGCAAGCAGAGGCTCATCCAGATTACATACTTGTCTAGGGTCACGTAGTTAGTTAAGGGGCAAAGTCCAAGGCTTGCTCCTCCGCCACTCCAGTTCCCTCGGCTTATAACAACCCAGCCGATACTTCCCGCTGCTGACCTGATAGTTCATATCCATAGCCCTCCTACTGTCCTTTACATAGGAATTTTCACCCATTTCAGAAATGGGCAAGCAGAGGCTCATCCAGATTACAAACTTGTCTAGGGTCACGTAGTTAGTTAAGGGGCAAAGTCCAAGGCTTGCTCCTCCACACCAGGCTCTCTGGGCATGGCCTCTGTTACCTGTGCACTGGCAAGGAGGGTCTCTTTCTACTGCTCCTAGGGCAAGGTCCTGCCAAGTTTCTCTCTGGCCTATGGCTCTGCCCTTGGGGACATTCAGTCAACATGGTTAACTGTGACTGAGCGTGAATCACCAACCTGGGGAGCACTGTGCTTGGATTTCCCATCCCCTACTGAAGCTCAATACAGCCACAGTCCTCTCCTCTGTGACAGAGGCTCACCCAGGTTGCATTGGGTCTAGGGTAGACAGGATCAGCTCTCCTGAGGGTAAGGGTCCCTTGCATGTTGTCCACAAGACCCTGTCATGAGGGGACCATTGCATACCCACATATGAGTTAGGCAGGTACGACTGAGAAGGGGTGGAGAGAAAGATTGTTAATGAGTTCTGGGTCAAATGAAAAAATTCAGTCAATGAATAGGACAAAGCCTGGACAAAGGTAGAATTCTCCCTCACCATATTCCTGGGGCTTCCACTCCCAAAAGCTCCAGGCTGGATTTAACCGAGCACCATGGATGCCCTGTTCCAGACCTCCTGGTGATGATACCCACATGGCTTCTCTTCTCTGTGGATCAGGTCTTGGGCAGCATGGTCTAGTCCAATTCACAGCTGAAGAGCATTTTACCTGATATGACTCACAGGAGAACTGAATGATCAAGATGTGCTTCTTGATTTAAAAATAGGAAAACCCTCTAGAGCTGGAGTTGATAGAGAAGAGTATTGTCATCTCCATCAAAGCACTTCCTGGAAATCAAAACTGTCCACTTGCCTCAGTTTCATCTGGGATGAACCCATGGGATAAAGGCCTATTTTCAGCTTTGGAATAGAAGGGCTGTGCTTTCCAATGCCTCCAGCTCTCTATTCCCCTCATCCTGGACTTGACTGACCCAGAGGAAAGTATTCAAGTGACTCATGAGTGGGACAAAAGCCTCTATTTTCTCACCAGAATGGGCTGCAGCCTGAAGTAATTCTGCTTCGGTCCTTAGCCTAGGAGAGGAGAGTTTAAAGGAGTCTTGTTTTTTTTATAGGATTGAGTACAGAGATACTCTGACCTAGGGTTGCCAGATTTAGCAAATAAAAATACAGGACATGTAGTTATATTTGAGTTTCAGAAAAACAACAAATAATTTTTAAGTATAAGTATGTCCCAAATATTATATTTTGTTGTATTTTATCTGGTAGCCCTCCCCTGACCTCCATTAATGCTGAGTGAACCCAGCTTGACTCTAGGAAGGAAAAAACATGACCATTCTCCTGCTGTGTTTGAGCTAGGCTGACTCTCCAAAGGAGAGAATAGACCTGGATGGAGGGCAGGGGAAGGCAGGAAGTGAAGGGACTTGATCTCCTGAGCCTCTTCCAAATCCCTATAATGCAGATCCAGTGTAAAAATATTGAGATTGCAGAAACACATAAAATGGCCGTCAAAAAAAGTGCAAATGTTTGGGGCAATGAAAACAAAATTCCACTAGGTTAGGAGTTAGGAGGTTAGGGATCTAGTCTGCTCTACCATTAGCCATTAACCAGCTGTGTGATCTTTGATGAGCAACTTGTCCTCTCCGGGCCTGATTTTCCCCAACTATAGAATGTAAACCCAGATGGGACTCTAGTATTCCATGAGCCTGGTTCTCCATGAGACTGGAACAGCATAGCTGAGTCTGTCCATCTGAGAAATCAGGCAGTGGGGCTAAAAACTGCCCCATCCTCTCCCTGAGGTCTGTGGAACTCTGAGGCTCCAACGCTGTCCTCTAGAACATTCTTATCTCTGAAGGAGAAGCAAGTTGGAGTGGCCAGAAGGGAACAGAAAATTGACTGGGCTAATGACTTTCTTTGGACCATCTTTTCTTCTCCTTAAGCCCCTTGATGCTTTTTGTATGTCAGACTAACTTTGTTTTAAGCTTTATTTTATTACAAGACTCTCTATATTCAATTTTATTAATTTGTGATATGAGTGACCATAGATTTCAAATAATATGATGGTTTTTTAAAATTAGAAGGCTATTGCTGAAATAGAATATAAGGTAAAATTTTAAGGTAATACCACTGCTTTTTAAACATTTTAAAATCTTTTTGGAATTGCCTACAGATCCCTTACATATTTAAATAAAATATATGCTCCAAGATGACAAAGCTTTGTTATTTGAGGATGGTTTGATATTTGATCCTTGAGCCAAATCTCAAGAGTGAGGTGCTCAAAGTGGGTAATATTGTTCCTGGTCAAACACAGGACATGACAATAAAGAAATGAGACCGGTTTTCTTATTGGCTCCTAAAATGACACTAAGAACAGTTTTATTTAAAAATTTTTAGAGCTTCTGGAAGCATTCGGAGCCATGGCAGTATTGGTGTAAGACTCCGGTAGAGGAGCTAATGCTTTCATTCTGTGTCTGTTGACCTCTGTGCTTCTCCCAATTCAACTGCAGGTTCATCAAGGGCAAAGTCAGAGCCTCTTGGACCTGTAGCGTGCCTTGCTCACTGCCACGCCCCAGCAGTTGCTCAAGATAAGTTGGCTGACTGAGTGAATATAAAGTACCTGCGGGAAATGTCCTTCATCAGCTCTCAGAAGCTCTAGAAAACATGCTGACTACGCTCGTGCAGACGAACCACACCCTCCTCCCCACGCTCCCTGCCTTCTGCTGCCATGTTGTTTTCACCAGAGAGAAAAAATCAAATAGTTCTGTTGTACCATCCATGGGAAAATCCCACAGGCACAGGATTATCCCATGCCACAGAACTCTATTTCTTTTTCTCCTGCTCTTCTTCTCCCTCAGTCTGGACCCTGTTTGGTTTTGCCCAGTCCTCGGCTGATTATATGTCTGGCTCCAATATTATTCCTCTTCTTCCCCACTTGGCCCCCTCCCCCTGCCAAATCCTCGTGTGTGCTCAGCTCTTCCCTGTTCCCATAGCCTCTCCTGAACTGAGAGGAGACGGGACATGCCTCAGCAGCTACCCTGACATGAGTCATGTCTGCAGTCCAGCCAACGAAGAAGGATCTAGGAGGGTTGGGCCTTAGGCTGCGGGGAAGGAAAGGGTTTTCACTGCTCGTCAGAAAATGGGCACGGTGGGGGGGCAGTTTGGGAGCATTCAAAGCTAGTGAGATTGCTGAGGAGTGAGTTAATTAACCAGAAGCAAAATGCTCAACATGGGCTCTATGAGGATTTTATTCAAAAACACCTCTTGCAAAGAGTTTCTTTACAGCTCTTGCTTACAAATTTCCACGGTTACGCTGACCATTAGATAACACTTCACAATTAATGTAACATGATACCAACCTGTGAGTGAAGTACACGCACGGGTATCATCATTCTCATTCTACAGATGAGAAAACTGATGCCCAGAGAGGTTAAAAGGTTTATCTAACACCACAGAGACAGAGAGCGGCAGGACCAGGACTAGACTCTAAGCCTTCTAAGCTCTGATCTGGTAGCATCATCTATGTAAGACGTGGGACATCTATGCTGCCAGCATGATTACTCATTCTGACTTCTGGTCCCGTGACCTGCCTTCCTTAGGTTTCAACTAGTTCCTTACACTGCATTACAAAGCCATTTTCTCAGAGTCTGTCTGGTCATCACCTTTTCTGTCAAAGCCCTTCATTCGCATCTATTCCTGATCTGCCAGCTTATTGGACTCAACAGCAACAGACCCACTCAGAGTCGATAAGCCTTGACTCACGGACCAAAGCCTGCATCACTCTTTTTAGGAACCGGTGCAGGTTTTCTCCACCTTAAACGCCAAATCATCCCATAAACATTCCAGGTCTTTTGTAATGGAAGCAGTTCCTTACCGGATATCCCCATGAGCCATTCCCTGCCTGGAACTTGGAGTAGTAGCTGCTCCGGCTGGTGGTCCCATAGTTGTTGTAATTGTCAGCCAAGCCATCATACATGGAACCTGGAGGGCAAAGGAAGGGGGTTAGGACAGGGACAGCTATGATCTTCTTTCACCCCTGTGTCCAGGTCCACCATGCTCATGGGGAAGACCGGGCCTGGGTTCCTGGAGGAGGAGGATGGAGAATAAGTCACCTGCTGGCTCTCTCCACCTATCACCACACCCTCCACAGCCAGGGCCAAGGGCAGAGCCATGACAGATTTCTGCAGGGATAGCTCCAGAAGGCTTGGGCAACCCGTTCTTTGGGGCCTAATGGCTCCCCTGCTGCTTGGGGTAGGTTGTCAGAAGTTGGCTGGGAGGGCCTTGGAGCACCATCGTTCCATCCCAGGGAATCACGACTCCATGTTCCACAATGGTCAGCTTCCCACTTGAGGAAGGCAGGCAGGATCTCGACACTCCAGGTCCAGCAGCCACAGCTGATTAGAGTCTGATTCCAGGCAGGATTCTGGATTCAAACTCCAGCCTGGCCCCCACCAGATGACCAGGTAACCTACCGCCCCTTCATTCATCTCCCACATGCTCCAGCTGGTTAGGGGGAGTGGCAATCAGCCTCAAAGGCCAAGAGAGGATTAATTAATGTTTTTGGAGTTCTTGAAGACCCACAAATGACAGGCTCCGCAGGACGACAGAGTGTCATTAGGGTTATTAGCAGCAAAGTGGCTTTGAATCACAGAAAGCAGAACTGGATTTTGGGCTCATGGTGGGGTCACTACCCTGATCTCCCTTTCACTGGATGGCAGGGGGGCCCTAAGGGACAGCCTCAAGTCCACACAAGCTGGTCTATTCATTTTCTTACTATCCTTGCAGCATGGCCAGCAGTGACACCCTCATGACTGCTCTCATCACTTCCCTTGCTGAATCTCCCTTCCCTCCTTGGCCACACCATCAAATCTCACCCAGCTTTCAAAGTCAAGCTCAAGACCTCACTCCCTCCAGGAAGCCCTTTCTGATCAGCCCTGCCCAAGGCAGTTTCTCCCACCTCTAAACACATACTGTCCTGCTATCTGCACCCCAAGTCTCATCCTGCCTGGTGTCCTATTCCCTTGTCTACACTGGGAGCTCCACAAGGGACAAGCCATGGCTCTATGGCCTGGACATCCAGAGCAAGCCCTGCCCCATACTCCTATTAAATGTGGCCTCTGGGAAGAAAGGTAAGTAGGATCCAGTGGAATGAGCATAGCCCTGCCCCATACTCCTATTAAATGTGGCCTCTGGGAAGAAAGGTAAGTAGGATCCAGTGAGAGCCTCCTAAGAGGAATGAGCATGCCTTTTCCCTAAAGCGATGGTCAGACTCCCTCATCAGAAACCCTGTCTGGGGAAGAGGGTTGACAATGATCTTACCTGGCTTAATTAGCTAAATCTCACCCGGCTGCCACACCCACCCAGACTCCCAAGCCTTTTCCCGGGGGACTGGAATATCTGAGCTGGGAACAGAGGGCAGCTTTGGAAGAAAGCCGCATCCCTGCCTGGTGCCACCTCCTCTGTCCAGTGCCAGATAAGCACCATAGCCCACAGCAAGGCTGCCACACCCACCCAGACTCCCAAGCCTTTTCCCGGGGGACTGGAATATCTGAGCTGGGTACAGAGGGCAGCTTTGGAAGAAAGCCGCAACCCTGCCTGGTGCCACCTCCTCTGTCCAGTGCCAGATAAGCACCATAGCCCACAGCAAGTGGCACTGCCACTGATTCCCTGCCTGCCCCCACCCTCCATCATGGAGGAGCAATGGGACACTAGGGCTGTCGGGCTGTGGCAGACGGAGCTTGCCCTGGGAGCCTGGAGGTGTTGAAATTGGTCCTGGCTCTGGCACTGGGGCAAGGCACTTGCTCTCTCTGGGCCTCAGCTTCCTGTTCTGTAAAAAGAGGCAGTTGGCATCAAAAGGCACGTACAGCTCCAGTGTTCTGTGGCTGTGTGATCACAGGACACAAGCCTAATGGCCCTCAGAGGAGCCCAACTTCTCTTCTCTAAAGATGGGGTTCAGCTCATAAAGATCAAGGGCAGCCGTCAAAGGCTACATCACATCTCTTCTGCAGACTGTCTCAGGGTCCTTCCAGAAGCTTCTGCATCCTTGAGAGCCCCAGCATCCCACTCTTGAAGCTGCAGGCCCAGGCCTATCTCCTGGAGGGACTCCCCACTGTGAGCGACCTCCTGGGCCTTTGCCCCGTGGCCCCTGAGCCTCTGACTCGCTTCACGCTCCCTGCCAAGAGCAGATGGCTTGCCCTTGCCCTTATTCCAGTAGCCACTCCTCCAGGAAACACTGCCTGATCAGGAGACTGGAGGCAAGGCTCATGGGCTCGGCTACCCAGAACTAGTGCTCACCAGGGAAGGGGGCTACACCTAGGCTCATGCAGTCAGGACCCTAGGCGGCTGATAGGGTAACACTTCCCCTCCACCCAGCCCACTTCCATCATCCCTTCCAAGTTCTTGGCAAGAAAGAGCTTGCATGGCTCTCGCCTTATGAGCAGTTATTTCCAAAGGGCAGGTGTGGGTCAGCCAGATGCTTCCGGATGGAAAATCTGGAGTGGTGACAGACAAGGAATTCTATGGAACCCCAGGGAGGCCTCCAACCCTGCTGAGAGGGAATCTGCCAGCAGCTACGGTGCTGCCCTCTAGGTCTTCAGATGAAGCATCTGCCTCCTTGCCCTGCACCTGCCACCTCCCTTGCACACACTCTTCTCTTTGCACAGGTGAGGCCTCTGCCATCAAGGCAGGGGTAGACCCAAGGACACATGGAGGCAGGGGGTTGGATGCCTGATAATTTCCAAAGCCAGTCCCCATGTCCTGGCAGTGACTCTAGTGAAGACAGATGTGTGCCATAACTCTCACTTCTGGTTGGGCCAGGGCCTCCAGGCCCTTCTGGGCAGCTCTTGAAGGCATGCCCTAAGATCCTTCTGCAGCTGGGGGTCTGCCTGGTTCCCTGGGAGAGGGAGGCTGCCACCACTCCAGCCAGGACTGCTTCTCTGGCAAAAGGTAGCAACACTTGGGGTGGAGGCAGCGAGGGAGGGGAGGAGTCCAGAGATGTCCACACCTGAAGTCACACCTTGCAGTGTGCCAGATAACCAAGGAGTGCAGGTGGCAGATGAGCTCTGTCTGTAAGAGCACAGCTCCCACAACAGAAGCAGTTTCTTCTCTCCTGGCCTCCAGCGTGTCTCGCTGGTAAGCAACGCCCTTTGAAAGTCAAGTTCAACAGCAAGAACATGGGGCTTCTAATGAGTGTAACAGTGATAACTCTGATAGCTTTACTTCTCCACCTAGGAACTCACTTCTAGGAAGCCTTTCCTGATTAACAACACCTGGTCCCATCACCCCTGGCCAATTGTCCTCTCAGTACAGGAGCATGGTAAGGTGTAGTCAATCTTCCATCTCATGCCTGTACCAGTCTCTACCATAATGTACGTAGGGCACTCCCTGAAGCAGGAATCATGTCTCTTCTTTTCTCAGGATCTTGGGCACAGGGCACTGCTCCGCCAGGGCTGACCTAACCTGCCTGAACTGGCCCTTTTTGTCCACAGCTCTTCTCCCCTGCCCCAACCCTTGTAGTAAAGGTGCTCTGGTGCGTGGTGCCTAGGGGTTCGACATCCCCATTTAATACAGAATGAGCTCAGGATCCTCGAATGCTACTCAGCCAGGCTTTCCTTCCACCCAAAGAGGTCCCTAGTGGTTGGGGTAAACCAGAAAGAGAGAGGGGCTGCACACAGCTCCAGAACAACCAAAGCCACCTACTTGAGGAGGATTCTTGGTTCCAGGTGGTAAGGGGAGGTCACCCTAGCACCCAGCTAATCCCACAGAACCACCCCATCCTCCCAGCCAAGCACCCGCCTTCCCACTGTTCTCTTTAGATGAGTGTACACACCAAGAGCAAAAAGATGGTGGCTTCTCAGCGAAGCTGGCAGCTGGCCCAACCTGTGAGTCATCCTCAGGAGGATCTGCCCACCCACAGAACCCCAAAGTCAAGGAGCAAACATCTCAGAGCATATATGATTTTCACCAGTACACAAGCAATCCGAGCTGCTCTGTCCATAGCTTGTCTCATTCTACATCCGTGTCCCAGGGTGTAAAACCATCTCAGAAGACCCGCCACCTGGATGATCAGCATCTCTGTGTGCTGCTCCTTTCGGTGGATCAGATGGATGACTGGCTGATTCTCTCTTGCATCACAGGGACAGCCCAAGCTTTCCCACCTACAAAGCCTTTGGAAATGGAGGCAGCTCCTATGCATGGATACATGGGATCCTCACCCCGGTGGGCCTGGCAAAGCCGTGTGGGATGACTCAGCCTCTTCCACCTCCCGGCTCTCACACAGGTCACACCCACCGCACCTGAAACATTCTTTCTCTTCTTCTCAGCCAAGCCCTCTCCCTGCATTCAAAACCTTGCACAAAAATCAGCTTCTCCTAAAGATGACCCCACCCAGCTCTGAGCACTCCAGGCCCTCCAGCATAACCGTGTCAGCACTCCGTCCAGCTGCTGTACTTACTCTGTGCTGGCTTGTGAGTTCCTTGGAGTCTGGCTTCTGTACACTGTGTTTGGGGGTGGGGGGTGCACACCTGTGTACCCTTCTCCCAGAAAGCAAGGCCTAAGTCTCCTCCATCATGGGGGCTCCCTGCAGCAAGGGATCTTCACTTTCACTAGATCTCTACCCCACCCCACCCCATCCCTGGGTCGGGTTCTACATAGAGAAGGTTCTTAGGACATTGGCTTGCCTGAGCAACAGGCTGCCCTCAGGAGCAGAGGTCATCTGAAACCCTGCTCCTCTATGCCCCCTTTCCAAATCCCTCTCCCTGGCTGGACTTGTCACAGGGCAAGCTGCTCTGGAGGGTTATCTCTTGCCAAGTCTGTCTCTGATAATGCTGATGTCTCTTCTGGCTTCTTCTATATTTGAATAAAGCCCACCTGTCCCTCAGCATAAAAAGTTCAAGAAAGGAAGCCTTGAAAATGCCTTTACTTTACCCCCTTAAATGTCTTCCACCCATGGTGCGCAGTAAGGCTGGGCCCATAGCAAGAGG